CATGGGACCCAACCAAGGCAGGTAACCCTCCCACGGACCAATTCAAGGACATTTGAAGTTCATTTTTTATAAATACCATATTAGATTAATGTCTGGTTAACTAAAACAACAATTTCTGCCTTTTTAAAATATACACAGTATCTTCTTGTTGTGGATCTCTTTTGCTTTCGACATGGGTATTATTTTTTGTTTCTTCTTTTTTGTGTGTCTTCTCTTACTCTGTGCACTTGTAATTAAAAACAAAAACGGTTTTCCTTCAGTCTATGTCACCCAAGCTGAAACCCTAAACCTTTTCTTTCCCTGCCAACTAAGGCACATATATTGAGGAGGAGCCTCACCCCTCCCTGTTTCACACAGGCTTAGTCCTATTGATGACTTCCCTGATGAGTTGATCACTGAATTTAACAGCTTGCCTCCCAGGAATGCGCTGACAATATGTGGGGAACGAGGAAGAACAAGAGCCAAAATGTTTGAGAAAGGAAATCTTACTGACCGTATGATTAGCTACAAATGCTTTCCAAATTTACTCCAGTATGCTACTGGTGCAGGCATTCAGATATTATCATAAAAGTATCTCTAAGCTTCTTTTTCTAATAGCAAGGATTTGCTTAACTCAAAATGCCTTCCCCTTGTCATCATCCACATCATGGGTAGGCAAACTAAGTCCCAGGGGCCGGATCCGGCCCAATTGCCTTCTAAATCTGGCCCGCGGATGGTCTGGGAATCAGCGTGTTTTTACTTGAGTAGAATGTGTCCTTTTATTTCAAATGCATCTCTGGGTTATTTGTGGGGCATAGGAAGTTGTTTTTCTCTTTTTTTCAAAATGTAGTCCGGCCCTCCACACGGTCTGAGGAACGTGGACCGGCCCCCTGCTGAAAAAGTTTGCTGACCCCTGATCCACATCCTCCTAGCTATGGGGGCCAAGATGCTGGTCCATCTCTCCCTCCACAGTAAAAGTGGGACTGGAGGAGTCCCAAATACCTGGCTTACATTTTGCTTGCACCAGGTTACCGATCCAATCAACACCACCAAAAACCTTGCATTTTCACTTGCCAACAGGAAAAGGATATTCAAAAAGGTGGCTCTGTTTGTTCTGTAGCAGCAAAATTACATTGGCCTATTTAGAAATTCTTGTAGCTGGTTGCTGTAATTTTTGTATTTATTATTTTCCTTCTTCTCCACCCCCCCCACCCCAAATACCTTATGTGAAATCTTGCCTGGAGAACTTAAACACTTGCCACTTTGGTGGTATTTGGGTTTGTCCCAAATAAACGTTTTGCTGAACTGAGGATTCTGACATTTTTACTGTGTATTTCCCTGTTTAGGGAAGTTTTTAATGACTCATGTTTTATTGTGTTTTTAATATTCTGTTGAGAGCCGCCCTGGGTGGCTGGGGAAACCCAGTCAGATGGGCAGGGTATAAATAATAAATTATTATTATATAATGTTATTATTGTTTTTTAATTGCTTCTTTCAAAATTTTGTTGGCATGGATGGCCCTTGCAAGGGCCTAAAACATGATGCTTCGATTAAGAGGATCAACAACGTTTTAATTCTATCAGTGTTGGATTGTCTTTTAATGATTGTGGTTCTCTTCCCCCCCCCCCATGTTTTCAGCTGTCCTTATTTTTATCTGTAACCTTTTGCTGGCGTCTCTCGGCGCTGCACAGGCTGGGGCAACCTTTCCCAGGCCAGTTTGGACAGTGTGGCATCTTCCAAGGATGGGGAACTGCTTATAACACAAGCATCTGTCAGAAGAGAAAGAGTGCACATTTCTGGAGCCTCAATATGCAAGGATTCCCAGGCCAGACTGCAAACCCATTACCATGAGGAGGGAAAATGATGCTAAATTGTAGCTCATATAGATGTATGTAGGTGCCTCCTGTCCAGCTCTCGTGAGATGTGCTGTTCTGCAGAATGGAGAAAGATTGTGCAGTTAAATGAGGACCTGAAGCTTGAGATACAGAGAGATTTGTGCTTGCCTATGAGACTTGCTTTCTCAAGAACAAACAACCCCAGAGTTCCTTGTGCATAATAGACTGCATGGAGGAACAATCAGTGAAAGGCTGGTGAAATTGATCCCAGGGGCACAGTAGAAGACAGGGCTGCCGCTTTACAGGCCCAAAATATAGAGGTCTGCTTGACACCCACGCTGCCATGGCATGCTGTAAATGCAGTTCACAGCTGTTTCTGGTGAGCGTTCTCAGAATTTTCCTCCCAAAAGGTTCATGTGTGTTCTTACTAACAAAAATCAGCAACGTGTGTTATGGTTTTTTGGGCAACGCCAATAACTGGCAGAAGCCGAAAGAAGTTTCAGTAAGTGAAAATGTTGTTGGAGACTCACGATTTCATTATATCGGTGACCTGGAACATATTCCCACCCAGAGTCTATTCTGGGGTGGCCTCAGGGTATACGAGAAACCTGGCAAGTGGCTTTCTTATATATTACGAGCTAATAAAACACTTCTCAGATTGTATCATCGTAATCACAGCATTATTTTAGACTACTTTTCTCCCACTTAGCGGCCCGCAAAGCAACTTACAATAAAGAAACACAAACAATACTAAAAAAAAGAGATATAGATATATAAATAAATCAGTTTAATAAAATCATAATAAAACAAAAGACATAGTTTATATGAATTAAATAGGGAACAACAGAGTTTTTCCTACACAGGCATTTAAATCTCCGGCCAAAATTATAAGACAAGTGAAAAAGGCATTCAGTAAAAAAAACCAAGTCTGTTCTTGGGATCCCCAGTGTAGCTCCAAGGGCACTACAAGGCCCATTAAGACCCCCCTGCCCCTATCAATTTTTAACAACGAACTAGGCTCTTTTGGCCTAGGGGAGGGTTGGCTGATATATGCTGCCTGCTTTTTAATGTTTTTTATTTGTTTTGCCGGGTGTAGGTGTTTTAGGGTTGGGGGGAGGTTCTGGGCATTCCCAGTTTTACTTCTGTGAAGTGGGTTCAGTGGAGCATGAACAAATTTTGGACCTGTATAATGATACTTCAGTTACTTTTTCTGAATCCTATTCCCTGGTTTAGGATTTACCTTTTCCTTCCTTTCCATCCTTATCTCCCTCTTCCCTCCTTGTTCATTCCCCTTGAATGAGTGCAATCCAAACTCCTCAGAGCCCTTCTACAAGTTCCTAGATGCGTTTCAAATGCATGGGTCAGACTAGAAACAGGGATGATGAAAGTCAAAGCTCATATTAGTCTAACATCGATATATAAGTGGCTAACTCTGAAACTGCTCCCCCAAGGAATAGCCCCATTGATTCTGAGCGACCAGTTTCAGTCTGGCTGAAGTTTAAGCAGTCTTAAACACTCTTCAGAAACTGGGCTCCTCAAACCCTCATAACTATTGGCCTGGGCCAAGCTAGATCCGTGGTTAGGCAAAGAATCATGGACATAGAGAGACAACAGGACTGTACAAGGGTCCCCAATTATAAAATCATAGAAAACGGGAGATACGTAACCACTCCAGCAACATATCTCTATTGCATCACATCCAGAAACGCAAGAAGGGCTTTCACTCTTGCTAGAAGCTCGGCCATGCCCTCACCTGTTCTGGAAGGCTCCTATAGAAGAGTCCCATATGCACAGAGACTTTGCCCAATAGGGGAAATAGGAAGCGCCGAACATATATTTTTTAGATGTCCTTTTTATGCTGAGATTCGTAGAGACACCACTGACCTTTTGCTGAAGAGGCTCGCCGATCTTTCAGACAAGTCTAAACTTAATTCTCCCCTCTTAGGCAAAGATCACAAGATGACCTGGCCGGTAGCCAGATTCTGCGCTCAGATCTGTAGGCACAGATCATCCTCTAGAATAATATAGTTTACAAGGGAAAAGCTAAAGCCGCCCTTTGGAGCGCCTCAGGGTCAATTTTTATGGTAGCCCAAATCTCCGTTGTACATGTGTATGTATATATCTCAATTTTAACTCATGAGCTATTGCTGCAATCTGTTCTGATTGTATATTTTATCTTTATGAATGCTGTTTTTATTGTTTTTATTTATTATAAATTATCTATCTATCTATCAACATCTCATCCTTCAAAGAGAACAGGATGGTTGTGTTAACGTCTTTATGGTGATTCATGTATAAATAATGCTGTGTTGTGTGTTGGGAGAAGCTTTCTGAAAACACTGTGTGTGTTTTGTGTGTGTGTGTGTGTATTTATATATATGAAAAAGCAACAGAAGATGGCAATTAAGTCTTTTGCACAACTGGCAACAACCTAAAGAGGCAGGTCCTATGTGGAGTATGGCTTCCTACTGTGGAGGAAACTTCTAATGATCTGCTTTAAATTATTCTGAAGATGACCGGCCTGCATTTCAATATGTTGGAGCAGGTGAACTCTGCATTGGGTTTTGCAGACACAAAAATTGTTGAGCTTTTTTTGGGTTGCCATTTTTCAAGAGGTAAACATGCAGGACATGTATATATATTTTAAAACCTACCAAAATCCCGAACAATTGCTTTAAAATGTATAATTCCCCCTGGATGGGCATGTAGGACCCCAAAAAGAGGATATTTCCGGGAAATCCTGGATATATGGCAACCCTATGCCTAGTGCCACACCTGCATGGCCGGAGGGTTGCTCTCTTCCGGTAGGTGAGGTGGTGGCTGTGATGCTCTCAGAACTCTGAGGTTGTCAATTTGGCACATTAGTAGCACAGTGGTCAGTTCAGAGCAGACCAAACAAGCTGCTATGGGCAGCTGCAGAGATTCTACGGGGAGGAGAGCCGTATGAATGGCAACGAACCACACGGCATGATGAGCATGTTATGTGGGGCCAGCTCGCTTCTGAGGGCATAAATACCAATTTCGACAAGCACAGAATCTCCCTTCTTCTCTGAGCCATCCTTCACTTTCCCCATTGCAATTTGTTGGCATGGATTTGTCCATTGTACAGGAACATGCCTGCATGTTGCCAGTCCTCTATGCCAACTTCTCCACAAGAGGCTTTGTGTCTGTTCACCTCCCTCCATTTTAACTCTTGCAAGTCTGGTTCTGGTCCTGAAAGCCAGGCCAAATCTGCAGCAGCTCCTCTGGCCCGTAGTGATGCACCACCACCACCTTGGAGAACTTGCACTTCTCATACTTGACTTTGTACACGTTGAAGAGACCCCCGGGGCTGTTTGTCACGCTGATGCCCAGCTCATACAGGCAGATTCCCATGAAGACATCTTCATTGTTAATGACCCTGATGGTCTTTGCTACCTGGTAGATCTTCTTGGCCAGATCCGCAGAGAACACATACCCTGGGCCTGCGCAGAAGGGCGGGTAGGTCTCATTGGGGTACACCGCCCGTGGCACATACCACTTGTAGGCCTTTTCACGCACTGGCTTTGAATTCCTGTAGATGTGACCTGTCATGTAGTTTTTCTTGGGTGGCAGGTGAGGCTGCAGCAGGTGGGACACCATGTAGTTCACATTGAGAAAGATGTCACTGTCTGCCTTCACCACGTAGGTGGCATTGGGGCAGAACTTGCTTATCCATTCCATGCCCATCAGAGTCTTCAGGGTAAGGTTGTTGTAGGTATCCAGGAAGTCCTGCTGAAGAATGTCTTTGTGGATGGAACTCTCCTCTTCCAAAAGGGCCTGGAGCGGGTATCCAAATTTTGGGTGGACACCCGTCAGAAAGAGACGAAGAATGGAAACCCCAGGCACTGAGCTCTTGTTGCCCCACGTCTGCCGGATGGCCTGCCTCGTGGCAAAATCCTGGGGCTCAGTTATCACCAGCAGGATCAAGAAAGGGCTCCTCTCCCAGCATTTCTTTGGCTCATTGAGAAGGAACTTATAATCAGTGGAATAGTCAACCTCCAAGGGATGCCGCTTGGCCACTGGTGGTGGTGGTGAAATCAGACCAGAGGGCTTGGTCTCCTTTGTCCTCTCCACTGCAGATACCCATTCAAATACCGTGGCACTTTTACGATCGCCTGCGGAATTTGGGCCGCCCTTGAGCTTGATGTTGTGCGATGAGAAAAGCTTCTCAAGAGACTCCCATTTGTTCTTTGCAACAAGTAGGAAAAGGAAAATAGAGCAGAAGAGGACCACAGTGGGCAAATTCTGCAGTTTGGTCATGAGCATCTTCCTGGTACCTTCACCTGCAGACTCTGGGGGGGGGGGGAGAGATCCTGGCCAGTTCTGTCCCGTTTCCAAAGACAACCTGCAAAAGAGAAGCCCAGTGAAAGGAAGATGAATTCTGCTCTCTCTCTCTCTCTCTCTCTGTGTGTGTGTGTTTGCACGCACACAAGGGGAGCTTTGGGGATCAGGGTGGGCGCCTGGAGAATCAGTCTGCCAACTGCCAACACACTCAAACCCTGCTCATAACACCTGCCTTCTTGCCCTTGCAATCTGTTTCTGGAAGGAAAATATGCACTCTCAGGGATTGGCATTATTCACTCAACCCATCTATTTACAGTAACTGGATACAGTAAGTGTTAAACTATAAGCCAGACCAGCTTCCTGATGAGGTAATCACCTGGGTGATGAGCCATTAAAGGAAAATAAAGGGAAGGGGCTCTGTCTGAGACAGCAAATGGGTGGGGCCCCTCAATCAGCCTCCCCCAGCTAGAAAGTCAAAGTCAAAGTTTGGGGGACTGTGGTGTGAACTAGAGGAAAAGCTGCAGGCTGGAAAGGCACAGAGGAAGAGCATGATGTTTGATTTCTGCTGGGATCCACAGCTGGGGCTACTGGAGAAACAATAACTCCATTATAGGCTCAGGTTGTATATATGTATGTGTCAATTAACCAAATAAAGACCACACAGTCTCCACTGTGCCTCACTTCCAAAAGGAAACACAAACTCTGGGTAAAGTGCCCAACTGGGTGTGTGCCAGGGTGTCTGGTAAGCTGAAAAGCTTGCACTGATGGAACAATTGGCATTGTGCTACATGGAATTCCTCCCTGTATTTCCAAATTATTATTATTATTATTATTATTATTATTATTATTATTATTATTATTATTCCTCTACAATCGTTATCTTGACATACATATTCTGGGTGGGAACAGGACACTCTTAATTCTACTTGCACTGTTGTAGTGATCAGGTGGGATTGCTATGAGGGATTATAACAAATATAGAGTAAGCCATCTGTGTCAGCAATGAAAGCATTGCATTGACTGGGTTTAAACTATTTTGATATGATTCTTGATCAATCTACACCTCTGCATCCCTGTTCCATTTCTCTCTCTTCACAAGTCACGTACACACTTAGACAGGCAGGCGTCCTGGGTCCTCAAAGATAATGGGCAGTTTCGTCGATGTAGCTTTCTTATATATTAATCTTAGGATGTTAATCTTAGGGCCAGGAAACAGGTTTCACATTAAGGTGATAATGGTCACTGTCCTCCTGGCCATCCTTCTTATCATGTGTACTGATTGTTATGACCTCCGGGGTTGCTGAATACGCTCCTTTGTTGTTTTCATTCATTTACTCCAAAGTATGCAGGCCTAACTAGTGTTTATAGTTTAACTTTGTCCCCACTTGGAGTTTGTTTAAATGCTCAGAGGAAATATGATTGGTTCTTACGAGCACTGTGTAAAGGATTCTTTTGCTAATAAAATGGCCTGGTGAGTGGTGTGGGGTACGCACTTCCTCCGAGAGCCTTGCTGGTCAAAGCCTTGTGTCTTATTTTAATCAGGGTCCAGTCCTTTCCTTTGGCCTCAGAACGCAACACACTGGCAAAGCCTGAAAGTGTATTAGCATAGTGGTTCTACCATCCTTGTGCTGGTGCAGTCCCTGTGTTGGTGGCTCAAAGGGGTGGAGGTGGAGACATGGTGGAGTTGGCGCAAAGCTCAGTCATGGAGTTACACTTGCTCAGAGCTTTCTCCCTCCCCCTGCTTTGTTGGCATAAAGCTACAAAAGGTCGGGTACCCCTTAGAGCATTCACTTTAAAATCAATGGGCTGCTCTCCTCTCCATCTCAGGACAGGAGTCCAAATAGTAATAGTTCAATCAAAACCCCACCCCTTTCCCTTTTCTTTTTCGTTAATATCCACCTTGAAGAGAAGAATTCTGATGAACTTAGAAGCTTGCTCATTACTTTCAAGCCATCTTAATAAAGGAGCTTTGCTGCTGTCGCTCTTTGGGTTTTATCTTGTGGGCCGCCATGGACCAATAGGTGTGTCTGTATTGCTTTCAGATTCACAGTGATTAATATGTTCCCTTCTCTAGTTCTGTTATTCATGTTATTTGTTTAAAAGGTTGGTTTATTTGCAGCTCAATAAACTGGAGACTCTCCTCTTGCTTCAAGAACTTGTTAGCCCTATTGTTAAATATAGTTTTTGATAAACTACTTACAGGTCTTAATTACTCGCGAGCATTTTGCTGAGATCCTTTGCTGCCCTTGCCCTTCTCCAGACTTCAGTCTTGGCTGACTTGCCTGTTCTGCTTCTCCACCAGAAGAAGCAACAGCTTTCTGCTGAATATGGAGAACTGGTCCAGACACACCTGCGCTTGTTTCGGGTCTTTCCACGTCTTTTTTCTTTCTTGCAATTTTGCCAAAAAGCTCAACAAACAACTTCCCCTCAACAAAAACTCAACAACGTTTCCCTCCCCCAAAAATTCAACAACTGCCGCCCCTCAAGCCACTTCAGCAACTTTTGTGTCCTGATTTTCACTGTTTGAAATATGGCAACCTTAGACTAGGTCTCCTCCAGAGACAGTATAAAAACACAAGGGGCTGCCATATGAGAGACAGAGGGCTCAGCCCCCAGCCCACTCACCTGCATACATCTCCTTTTCACCTTTGGTGACCAAGCAAATGGTTAAATAAATACAAGCCTGCTCTATGAAACACCTTTGCCATCATCAATTTCAAGGAAATCTCATTCAGTGCTCCAGGTATTTGTTCTCTCCCTCCTTGAGGGCCTTTCTACCCCTCTCCCATTCTCTTCTCTGAGGTGCTTTTTGCGGCATCTCAGGTGAGCACTTACCTGCCTGAGGTGCTGTTCACTCAAGGTTGCCACCTGCCTTTGTCAGCTGCAATTTACCTTTCCCTGGGAGGGTGTGGCACAAAAGGAAGGGACAACGCCTACGTCATCCAGCTAACACAGAGGGGAGGGAGCAGGGACTCTGCTTCCAGGAGAGTCTTTTTTGCAGGACCATTGAAACACCTGCAAGGACTCACCACCTGCATGCCAATCCCATGCTGAATCTCACACACACACCAGAAAAGAAGAACATGCCCCTCAGAACCCAAAGCCAAGCACAAGAACAAGATGAAAGGGATACATTTATTTTATACAAATGTATTTTATATAAATGATTATTTTATATAAATTATATACATGTGCCAATGGGTGTTATCATAATGCATACCCTCCATCATTTCTCCAAATAGGGAGAAGGTCGGCAGTTCGAATCCCCGCGATGGGGTGAGCTCCTGTTGCTTGGTCCCAGCTCCTGCCAACCTAGCAGTTCGAAAGCACGTCAAACTGCAAGTAGATAAATAGGTACCGCTCCGGAGGGAAGCAAACGGCGTTTCCATGCTCTGCTCTGGTTTGCCAGAAGCAGCTTCGTCATGCTGGCCACATGACCTGGAAGCTGTACGCCGGCTCCCTCGGCCAATAAAGCGAGATGAGCGTCGCAACCCCAGAGTCGGCCATGACTGGACCTAATGGTCAGGGGTCCCTTTACCTTTAAACATTAAAAAACCTCCCACTTCCAGGTCTCTGCAACATGGCAGGCAGACCACAAATCTGACAGCTATGTCAGATTCGGCTTTGTGGAGTGAAGGAGAAGAGTGCGAGGGTGATACGCCTTCCAAGAGAGTCTTTTTTCCAGGACCATTGAAGCACCTGGAAAGACTCACCACCTGCATGCCAATCCCATGCTGAATCTCACACACACACCAAAAAAGAAGAACATGCCCCTCAGAACCCAAAGCCAAACACAAGAACAAGATGAAAGGGATAACTTTATTTTATACAAATGTATTTTATATAAATGATTATTTTATATAAATTATATACATGTGCCAATGGGTGTTATCATAATGCATACCCTCCATCATTTCTCCAAATAGGGATGCCCTGTTCATTTATTTATTTATTTATTTATTTACCATCATCATCATCATCATCATCATTATTATTATTATTACTATTACTATTACTATTCTATTTATACCCTGATCTGGGTGGTTTCCAACATATAATAATAATAATAATAATAATAATAATAATAATAATAAACATTAAACACAAAATATATGTGTGGATGAAATTTACTTTGGAAGAGAAGTTAACTAATGAACAATTAGGATTAAAAGACTGCCCCCAGCTTCCGTTTATGCCAAGATTTTCTAAAATAATGATCTTGACCTGAACTCTAGTTGAACTTGGACATAGCACACGGTGAGATTGAACTAGACTTAAAATGGAGGTTAAACCTGAGAAGATTATAAGGTTAAGAGTAGTTTAACTTTTTCTTCTGGGGAAAAAGACTGGACTGACTCTCTGGAAACTATCTCACTTCTGTGAAAGAGTTTCAGGATCTATTTGACTGTTGAAGACGTTAAACTTAATGTGTGGCAACCATACTCAGGGAAAATATATATTTCTTTGCCTTATTGTCTTATTACTGTGCTACATGTGTCCTGTTGCTAAGAAATGATGTTGCTATAGCTCTGAAAAAGCTCAATATGGAGGTCAAATGGCCGAAATATTGGGAAATTTTGGAACAAGATGGAGATAGACTGAAATTGCAGAGTTTTGAAAAACTAAAAAACAAAGTGCGAGACTGGCTTCATTATTATCAGATAATGGAGGCATACAATTTGGACAAGAAAATCGGCTTCCAGGTGGAAAAATCAAAACTAGAAACAGAATTGTTAGAACCCAAAACTAAGATTTTGTCAAAGATGTATAACTTGCTGTTGAAATGGAATACTCAGGATGAAACGGTGAAATCTGCTATGATTAATTAGGCACAAGACGTTGGACACAACATAATGATGGCTGACTGGGAACAGTTGTGGACCACAGGTATGAAGTTTACGGCATGTAATGCCTTAAGAGAGAATATTATGAAAATGATATACAGGTGGTACATAACCCCAGTCAAGCTTGCAAAAATCTAC